TTGGCGCATATACGGCGACACCGCTGTGGGCGCGGCGCAGTGTCGTCCTCGACGCTGATATTATCACTTCAGGCCTATATTAAAATCAAAATGGACGAAAAAGAGCTCGCTGATAAAAGTTTGGCTTTCATGAACGAGCATTTTTATTGGCATTTAAAATTCGTCGAATTGACATCGCTATCACCGTATCAACATCCATTACGGAAATTGATAGGAAGAGGGCTAATTATATTCTGCTATACTCATGCGATAGGGGCCCAGGCAAGCAAAAAAATATTGACATTTCGTTTTCTGAATTATCTTGAGCTTTTAAATTTTTTAAAATATTATTTATAGATAGTGGCAATATTCGAGGAATATTTTTCAGGAAGGAACGATTTTGAATTGTACGTAGATTTACTTTTTGAAGCACTAAATGGCTCCCTCCTAGCCGTTGCTTTTTTGGCAGGGGTAGTAAACGAAAAAAAAGTAAAATTCAAACACGTATCTGGGTAAAAATACATTTTTCTCGAATATATACAATATCGTATGCATAGGTGAAAGAGACTGTTGAACTCATGGTGTTGGATTTTCTGAATATTACTGAAACTAAACCGCAGAAAATCATGAAAGAGTCCATGAAGCAGATATATGTCCTGTCCATTAGTTTTGCTAGTTTGTATATTTATAAAACATTAAATGTTAATATTCATGTATTAAGATGTCACGAAAGTTTACCATTAGCTTGAAATAATAATTTTTAAACTGTATAACGTTTATTCACGATAGTATTGATGTATTCAACGATTGGCACGATGCTTTTCGTTCCATCTGTAATCCCAAAGGCAATTAATCTGATGTTTAACACTTCTTACGAAGTGACCGTATCCACTCATGGAGATTTCGGAATAAATCGAGAGACGCACATCGAGCTGCTGTTTTTCTACGCATCCACGTGCTTACTTGTTTTCATCACAACCCTTATAGCAGCTGCGCACGAGTTTTTAACTTGTTCGGCTTACATCAGAGCAAAAGCACAAGTGGTCAAGTAAACGCTGGAAATTTTTTTTAATTTAATAAAGATCTAAAATTATCATATACTCTAATTTTTTACAGTTATCGTTTTGAACAATTATGGCTACTGTGTAAAAATAATTTGGTAAATGAAGAAGACGCGCTTGCAAAAGATATTTACGAGGAAACGGTACAAATAGCCAGAGATAATAGTTTTATTTACTCGTATGATCCATGATTGATTGACTATTTTTCTACATGTTTCACAAAAAATATTAATTTGGATTATATTATGTTTATTTGAAGGTTGATGTTAAGGGTGGTGGATATGACTGTAAATGTTTTCCTTTACATTGTGTTTTTATTTTTGTGTCACATAGCAGTTGCAGGCTCCATGGTGAGTTCAAATACTTGGCCAGTTAAAAAATTTGCCATTTACATTTTCTTCTTTTTAGATTATTATCGAAGGTAAAAAACAAAATATTCAACCTCTCCTTAAATTTTCCATCACTTTCGTAATTTTGATGTTCGGAGCTTTCATAATGAGTTTTGTAGGACAAGATCTGGTTGTTTCTGGCGAAAATATGCTGGTGAAATGGTAATTATCTCAACGAATTATGATAGCCAAATTGGTATTTGTTCGTACTTTAATTTAAAATTTCGATTATAGTTACGATTGTGGATGGTACAATATGCCTTTAAAAACTCAAAAAATGATCTTGTTCATAATGCTCCGAAATATGGACCCGATTGAACTGAAAGTAGGTCCATCGATACCGTTAAACTTTGAAACTTTTATGAAAGTTAGTTTTACTGTGTGCAATATTATATGAAATTTTTATAATTTATTAAAATAATACGTTGGTTTTCTTCAGCTCATAAATACATCGATGTCATATATGACGGTCATGATATCTCTTGTATAACGAAGCATCAGATGGAATTGCCACACACTCTAAACCCAAAAGAGTAACTTTCGAACCTCAAAAGAGTAATGTACGCAGAATACTCTTTTAAAAAGAGTAATCTGTGCGAATTACTCTAGCTAAAAGAGTAAATAACGCAAGTTACTCTTTTGAGGTTCGAAAGTTACACTTTTAAGTCTGGAGTGCACAATGACAAAAAAGTGAACTTGAAAAAATGTAATAAATTTTCAAAATTATTAACTTTCACATACTATTTTGAAATTATCTAAAAAACGGATTAATGAATGTATTAAATGACTTTTATTTAATGTGAAAATACTCCATTTCTATAAATTTTTTTCGAGATTTTAACTGAAAAATTTTCCTAATAAAAAGTCTAAAAAATGGAAAAATTGAAAAATTCATACAGCTGTTTGAAAAAATATTTAATGAGAGTTTTATAAAACTTGTACGACAATTTTCATTTTTAGACCGGTTTGGTATTTTCTTAATATTAAAAAACTTTTTTTTTATTTAAACATGGCTCTATTTTCCGATGTTGCATTAAAATTTCAAGAATACACAATAGCGTCTATAGTTTGTTGGTCGATAAAAATGTATTAATTTAATAAGACCTTCGTACTCTTGGAAGCTCGAGGATCCAAAACAATCTCAGTCCAAAACATTTTCTTGAAGATTATTCTTTTTCCTTTTTAAAAGCTCGTACATTTTTAATTTTTTTCTGTTGCTACTCTCGTAAAATGTTTCAATTACATAAGCATTAGAAGTGAAACTTCGGGCATCTTTATAGCATGATTGAAGGCCAATATGAGAATCGATCTGCCAATAATTTTTCGTACACGACTCTGATACGGTGATAAAAATGCTAATTCGACAAATATCAAATGAAAATAAAAATGTTCGTTCATAAATTTTCGCGAAGAAAAATATTTATCGTCCATTATGAATGGTTGATATAAAAATTTATCAAACGAATAAAAAAAGAACTTAATCGGAATGTTTAATCCTCTAGTGTAAAATTCGTATACGGAAAAACTTTTGACCACGTTTCACGCTCGAATTCTGAAAGTTTTACTGAGCTCGTTTCGTGGCCAGCACCGAGCGCAATTCAGCCTCGAGATTGAGGTGAGACCTCAGAGACTGACTTGAGAGTTAAGATCATAGTTAGTATTAGACAACTCGAGGGCGTTTCGCACTCGAGACTGAGCATGAATTGTGCTCGATTCAGAGCGCGAATGTATCTCTATGTGTTCGATCGTGAAACAGGGTCAAACGTTTTTCCGCGTATGTCACCGGAGGTATTGTTTTCATTAATCTTAGCTATTTAAATAATAGACAGAAATTAATGTTGAATACAAATGTTCATTTCAACATCAATGATAATTATCTTATGGGTTCATACTTCTCGCGAGTACAAGCTCTGAAAAAACGAACGCTTTGTTTAATAAAACTTATTTTATATATTCAACTTGAATGACTACCCGTTTAAAATTATATGTGGCTACAATGAACGACTACACACATACTGCGCATCGTAGTTTTGGAACGAATCATGAGCTTATGAATTTGAGATATTTTTTGAACTAACCATATAGTAATTTAAATTCATCAAATGCGCTATATTTTTTCGAAAATCCACTTGCTTGACTGATCGACTTGGGCCAATTACTTGAGAAAAACAAAAACATCAAAAACCCGTTCTATTCTTTGATTGCAATTATTATGAGTCATTTTGATAAAATTTTACGGAGTTATCTTGAAAACTCTTCAATTTTAGTCTTTCTTTCAGTTATTAAGCAGAAATAGTTTCAGAGGTGTCGTAACAATCATTTTTTTTTCATTGCATAAAATTATGCTCAAAAATTTTAGATTGATATTTCGTGTGTTTTACTGGTTTAAAGCTGAGTACGACATGTAATACAAAGAAAAATAAATGCACTTTAATAACAGCAATAAGAAGTGAAACTTCAATCAAATTCGGCATAAAAATAAGACACTCGAAAGTTAAAAATTCAAATAAAATAAGCAAAGAAAAATATTGTACAATATGTAAAAAGAATTTTAATTTATGTGACTCAATTCTCAATAAGAATATATTCCTTGAATAAGTTTGAATTTATTCTTTTGATCGGTGTTTGTGTTTCCTTACTTACAACAAAAGCCAAGGTGTATCATGTGTCAACGGTGAAAAATAAATTCATACTTAATTGAATACATTTATTTATCAATCTGCTTTTGATTGGATCAATAACACTAGTTTATTGATTTCTCTTATCAAACTATCAGTAACAAAATTGCATGTAACACAGCTTTTAAAGTAAAATTGTTGTATTCGTCGAAAAGTTGATGAAAAGTGAAGAACGCGTATAATAGCCCAAAATTTACTTATATTACTCGAATGGCTACCTGCTCATAATGATAATTTACTTCAATAGGTAGTAGTAGACCAACGGTGCATTTTAGTTTCAAATTAAGATGCACACCGTTCGTAGCTGACCTTGACATAATTCAGGTTCGCCAAATGCGCTCGTTTATGAAATACTTTTATTTTTCGAGAACCCACTTGAAAAAAAAGGTAATAAAAAGAGAAACATCAGGAACTTTTTTGACTATAATTTTCGGCTATTTTTTTTGAGTCCATTATTTATAGAGTGTATTGAATTATAAAAAATTGTAAGCCACTGTATCTTCAGTTGTTAAAAAACAGCTATAATAAATCAAAAATTAACAAAAATTTTTTTTATTTGTGCACACTGACAAACTAACTTTGCAAAAAATGGTAATAAAAAATGGAAATTCGAATTAGAAAATTAAAAATTGTCAAGCTCGTTTTTATATTAATTATAATCGGAGATAGCTTTGATGTATTAATTAAAATTACATTTTTTTCCCATTTAAAAATTGTGCTCTCAACTTTACAACGTGTCACTGACCGTATTCGCGAATCATCGATTTCTCCGTACTTTCCACAACGCACAACTTATACGGGGCGCTGCAAATCGACGCACGAGAGCGCGTTCAAAATTCCCCCCGCGAAGTTTGGCAGACGACCTATCTAAGTCGGCGCCAGTTACACCTCGGTCGGCCGAGCCTGCGGATCGTCGAACGCTCGCGCCACACATACGCACGAACGTACTTCGTGCGTTCTCGACTCGAGAGACGAGGCCTCTTTTTTTCCGTGTCGTCGCGCGAGTGCAAGTTATAAATCTTCGCCGAAGACCCTCGCCCGAGAGAGCTCGTGACAGCCAGCAACGGCATCCCTAACGAGAAGACGAGAAGACGATGGACATGGAAGAGCCACCGGCGGTATCTGTTTGCCTCTGTGGCACTTCCACCGAGTTGGACCCAGACGTCTTCATGATACTCTGCGATATATGTCACATTTGGTATCATGGAAGGTAGGCACGACGACGACGACGATTATATCCGACGTCGATCGACGGCTCTCGTGCTCGTTAATTTTTTGGGGGTGGATTTCGCGCATTTTTTCGCGATTTTATTTGATAACGGGCGACTAGAGCTTGGCTTTGTTATTGTAAACATAACCACTACGTTTCGTTGTGTATACCTCGAGAGAACTCGTCCTGACGGAATTTCAATTTGTGTCAACTTATGTCGAATCGTCGATTTTTTCAGACAACCGATTTTCTTTTTGAATCTTTATGTCATAGAGGTGCACGGTAGCGTCTTTTCGATGCTCGATATGAAACTGATTTGTTTACATGTGCTTTTAGATGCGTGGGTGTAACAGAGTACATGTCCACTGACATCGATAAGTATCACTGCCCTAAATGTGATGAAGAGTATGGTCCTATGACAAGTAAGATGATCTTATGAATTTTTTATCGATGATACATTCATTGTCTAACTCTTCATTGCTTTCTTTCAGTGAAACCTAGAATCAATTCGCATCGACATGATTATTCTGAGCAACAAGCGGACTCTAAACCAGTGCAATCGGGTACACCCGTATTCATAAGAGAACTCAAGTCCAGGCATTTCCCAAAAGCTGATGAAATCATTAAGCATTTAAAAGGTCAACAGCTAACCATGCAGTATTTACAAACAAATGGTTTCGATGTTCCAATAATGGTTGAAACAAAGGATGGTCTTGATATTGTGGTTCCACCACCAAACTTTACTCTTCATGATGTAGCTAAATATGTTGGTAAGAATCAATAAATATAATTAAGATTATTTCTCACTTATGTCATAATTTTAATTTATATACTAACATATTTTTATAGGGGCAGACAGAGAAATAGATGTCATTGATGTAACAAAACAAAATAATATATCAATGAAACTGGGTGAATTTGTCGAGTATTATTATGATCCAAATAGAAAGAGAATTCTGAATGTTATAAGCTTAGAGTTTTCAAGTACTGGGTAAGATACTTGTTTCGATTTATTATGCTTGATTAATGAGATTATGTTCACTGAAAATTTTATTTTTTTCAGTCTTTCACCGCTAGTAGAAGCCCCGTATATTGCTCGTAAGTTAGATTGGGTAAATTATGCATGGCCAAGAGACTGGCCAGCAGATAGCGAATTGAAAAAACCGGAAGTCCAAAAGTATTGTCTTATGGGGGTGAAAGATAGTTTTACAGATTTTCATATTGACTTTGGTGGAACTTCTGTGTGGTATCATGTGTTACGTGGTGAAAAAATATTTTACCTAATTAGACCTACTGCAGCAAACTTACAACTATACCAGCAGTGGACGTGCAGTGCTACTCAGAGTGAAACGTTTTTTGGAGATCAGGTTGATAATTGCTATAAATGTGTTATAAAGCAAGGACAGACTATGCTCATACCTACTGGCTGGATTCATGCGGTATTAACTCCAGTAGATTCTTTGGTTTTTGGAGGAAATTTTATTCACAATCTCAACATACCAATGCAAATTCAGTATGTCTCACTTTTTATCATTTCTTTACAATTAGGGGTTCATTTAAAGTAAATTTTTAATATATTTTTTTAGAATTTATGATATTGAGAAAAAAACAAAGACCCCTGCGAAATTTCAATATCCAGGATTTGAAACCATACATTGGTTTGCTGCCAAACGTCTTTTAAAAGAGCTGAAAGACTTGAATGTTGAGAACAAGAAGTGTCCAGCTTATCTTTTGCAAGGAATGAAAGCATTATTAAGCATACTCAAACAATGGAATACAGATAAAGATGTAAATAATTTTTATACCTACATTCAATAAGTTTTATATAATAATTCAACTAATTTTAATTTAATTTCAGTACAATATGTTAAGTCGACTTCAAATACCTAATACCATCAACAGTTCAAGGTTGTTAAAAGATTTCAGTAAAGAGATAAGACATGCTGAAAAATTTTTGATGTCGTTGAATCCACCTAAACCCGAAAGGGAAAGTAAACGTAAGAAGAAAAAGCCAGTCAATAAAGATTTTGTCGATTTTAAAACTGTTGATCGTTCATCGGAATCACCAAAAGCCAAAACGCCAGCTAAAGAAAAATTAACAAAGAAACAAACTTCAGCCAAGTCTAAAGCATCATCAAACGCAAATATGTTAAAAATATCATTACCGAAACCAGATCCAATGCCAATAGATAAACTCAGTCCACCATTTCCTGAACAACCCCCACTTATTTTACCAGGATCACCTATGAAAAAAACCATAAAAACACTGAGTCCTAAAAAACCTACCCCTAAACGATCCGGTTCTAAGAAAGGCGCGAGCGCAGGTAATGTACAGAATGTCTTGAAAAGTCCAAGCCCTAAAAAATCAACTATGAAAAAATCACCAAGTAAAAGTAAAAATGCAAACAAATCTAAAAATATAGCAAAGAATAAGCTCAAGCTTATCGAGGAAGATACCAGCAAGACTACAAAGGTGGTTCCAGTCGTTAACGATATGTACGGAAACTTCTCGCTGGATCAAGGAGTGGAAACTCGTAAGGAACTAACTTGGCAACAAACGACGTCTGTTTACGATTTCCACGACGGGAGCAACGAGAGCGATTACGGCGGTTTTACCATCGACGAAGCGCCAAAGAGAAAACGGGCCAAGGCAGCAGATACTAATCCAAAGAGATTGAAGAAACTAGATCCCGTAGTTGAGACCGCTACTACCGCGCCTAAAAACGGTATCGAGGAGTTGCTCAAAGCTTCCATTTATACGCAAGGTACAGGGACTAATCCAAGACTCGAACAAGTCCTGTAAGTATCCTTATTGTTTCAACTAAATGTTAAATTTTTGTACCCTACGATTAGTTTTTATTGAAATATAATATTTACAGTCCCTCAAATATAGCAAGTAGTGCCCAATCAGCACCTGCTACAACAGGGTAAGCTAAATGATGCTTTTATTAGTCAATATTAATCCTAACAAAATAAAAGTAGAAGAGTAGAAGTAGTCATATGGACGCCAAACATTGGTAGTCTGACGTTGAATTTTTATTTCAAACATATTAACTCAGTTTTTATGTTTATTTTAATACAGGGCTTCTCCTTCGACGAGAGACGCTATTGCCGGAATGTTATCTTTCACAGCACAATGCTACTCGACAACTTCACACACGTCACCGGTCAAGTCGGGCAGGGTAATTAAGAAAAAAGAAATCGAAGAAGAAGTGGTGCAGATCGACGACGATCTCATTGAAAATATTGATAAAGTTCATCAAGACGACGACTTCAGTAAGCTCAAGAGAGTCTAATAAAAATTAAGTAAGCTCGAGAGACTTACGTAAGCTCATTTTTTTCAGTATATCCCGCATTGGACGTCTCGGACGATGATGACGAATTCGGGTTCAAAAATAAAGGCAAAAAAGAGGAGGATGAATCGTGGAATCCCAAAGCTAGAGTGGGGCCACTCTTACCGAAGACCAACAGACCTGCGCGCGAGGGCGCGAAAAAAACCTCGGTCGAAAAGGGTCTGGAGGCAGCTGCCAAGAAAAAATCGAAAGCAACTGTGAGTATTAATTGAACTTTACCGCATTATCGATGGTTTCTGTGTAACTAAACTTTTGTCTTACCCCCGTTAGACAACGCCGAAGAGAATTTACAAACGGAAAAAGAAGGATACTGTGTCAGATGTAATTGACACTGTAGCAACTGAAGAAGAAGTTGTTCCCGGTCCGTCGCTTCCAGATGACACGAATGAAACATCTTCTTTACTTCCAACTGAACCAACTGTTTCCGGATTCAACCCCCTAAGTCCCTCGATGAATCCTTTCTCGAACTACAAGTCGGTCTTGACGAGCCCAAACAGATTAAAAGAGGTAAAAGCAAAACTCGCTGCACCGATCCCTTCTGGTAAGTTCGACTTACAAATTCTCCTATTTTAATTAAATGTAAAAATGAAAAAACGTTAATGAATATCTGTAATTTCAGAACGGAAACCGAAAAAAGGTATGAAAACCGTAAAACAGCGTTTAGGAAAAATTCTTAAACTTCACAAAATGTGGCATTAACCTAATGTTGCGTTTTGTCAATGAAATACCCAGTAAATCTGAAATTGCAAAGATACATAGTGTATCATATTAATGTAAATATTATTCTAAATTTATACATAAATAGTAGAGTAAAAATATGAATTTAAGCATTTTTACGAAAAAAATGTCAGAATTATCCTGCGTTGGAAGTGTTTGAAATTGTAAATTGATTTTATACGAGTAGTGTGAAACTTTGTATCCTTTTATTTACAAGTAACTCGCAGTACTTTTCTGACTATCCGACATTTTTTACGAGCAAAATAGTTTATTTATTAAATAATAAATATTGTACAAAATATAGGCAAGAAATCTAATGTTAAAAAATAAGAATATTTATCATAGTTACACCCAAAAATAGTTGTAAATTATACACATTTATAAAAATTTAATTGCAATTGGCTAAAAAAGTATTGTTTACGTAGATTAACAGTAGAGCACGAAATGACTGCTAAAGTGAAGGAAAAGATACTCTTTGTCTCTCTGTCCACGTTTTTTACGAGACACTGAACTTTCTAATTCAATTATAAAATATTTCATATACAGGCATTGACAATACACGCTCAATGTAGTATAAGTTTAATCACAATAATTAAAGTTTAAATATAAATATGTAATTTGTGGCATATTTATAAAACATCAAAACATAAATAGCTAAAAAACGGAAACTTAACACTAACATATGGACGTAACTTGTGTAAACGGTTTTTATCCGTATTTAATTATCTTTGTTATTTTATTTTATACATCAACCAATGTAAAAAAATGAATTTGCATTTTGCAGATTTTTTATAAGTTTTATCAGTATTATCAATTTGATTATATGTAGATTCACGTTAAGAAAATAAAAATTAAATTTATAAGATTTCAATTTGCGAAAAATGTTCATACCGTTTTTTGACAGAAATTCTAATGCAACAAAATATTCGAGAAAATACAACAACTGTACAAAGGATAAAATTCGAAAAAATTTTCAGTTTCAATTCCAGTAAAGATTTGGTAAAATGAAAGAATATTTTTGAAATTTCAGATTTTGACATATTCACAATCAAACTTTTTTTATCTATCGTTTATTGTTCATCTTAAATTTCTTTCGCTTTTCAACTACATAAGTATATAAAAAATGTTCTCTCGCATACAGAAAGAAAATTTATAACTTTATTTACTTATAAAAAAAAAGAAATATATAAAATATCACGAATGTGTTAAAAAAGGATATGTATACAAAAATATAATAACTTCATGACTGAAAAATATAACTACTCAGTACTGCCCTACAAATCTTAAGCTGTTTTTATGTAAATTTTGTACGAAGCGGGTGTATTTTAAATACACTTTCGATTCACGAATCGTTTGAAAGTTCAAAAAAATATATCTGTTGAAATTTAGCTTGAGAATTGAACAAAATTGTTTTAGCGTTCGTATGGATAAAGAAAAAGAAGAAGCAAATAATAATCCGAGTGTGTGAATGGTTTTTTGTAGAGGTTTGAATTTTACGTGAAACAATAGTTCAAAATAATTAGTCAAATAAATTTTTATAATCAGATTACTTATCAATGGCTATTCATTTCTGATCCAAAAAATGGTTGGTTTTTGTCGACTTCTAAATCAAAAGTTCACGTTTACTACGAAAAGTTCAAATAATATCTGTCGACATTTGGCGCTCTTCGTTTTCAAAACCGTATACTGCCAGTCATGCTACCATATTCGTCATGAATAATTGTCAGTACTGAATAAGACTACGATAGCAACAATAACACGAATTTTTATTAGACAAATATTTAAACTTACATTTCTAGTCGGCTCTGGTAGCGAAATTTCGGTATATCTTACGAAATCTTCAACTCGGAAAAATATCATCAAAGCTTGATACCATTATGAAACGCTACTTCGAAAAAGGGTAAGTTTTTATGTTATTCTCGACACGAAAACAAAAATTTGCAAGAGTCGCAGTTGTATTTATTAAAATACATCTGTAAATTTTACAAGTATCACATCGACATTGATACAAACGATAGGTTTATTATGAAAAAATGTATGAATTAAAAAATATATTTTAGAATGTGCGTTGAATAAGCTAAAAAATAATTCATCGATTTGAATTTTGGTCGGTATAAGATAAATTAAGTAACCAATCAACATTAATTAACTCACTGTCCTAAAAGTCTCATAGTTCATGGGAATCGTAGGGCCCGCGGTAAGAGTGCTTCAAGGATTTGCCGTTCGGAGGATCATTAAAATGATCAAACGTTTTTCTTTCACAGAAAACAAATACCATCGAAAAAATTTGCGACAATAATAAACGAATGCCAATGGTGAATAGTTTTTTTTTCCGAAAGAAATTTTTCAATACACTCATCGTCACTTGGTTATCAAAATGAATTTAGTTATTCATGAATGCCATTGAATCCTTCTAATTTCGAAATAATTCTAAAATTTAAATGTTAGTTGTAGAAATTTCAGACTAACTGCACTTTCGTGAGTGCTGTTTATCGAAAATAACGGTTCTATAAACAAAACGAAACATTTCTTTACACACGTGAATTTTATGTAAACGATTATTATTAATATTCATGAAATATGTATGAATGTACATTTATTTTTCAACGAAAAAGATAGGGACGCAGTGAATAGTTTTTATTTTATTTCACGCATGTATAGTTCATTATTTAATATCAATATATAGCTGGGATGCTTTTAGCATTTATATCGTGCACACGAGGCAGAAATAATTTCGCAAAATTACGCGCGAGCCATGCATTTCTTCTATGTATCTCGAAGCTTTTCGCAATTTTTGAAAAGTTTTTCCAACATTAAATTTGGTCAAATTGCTCGAAATTAACAATGGGTTAATGGTAAATTAAAATATTTCAAAATATTTTAGTATTTATTGGTTCATACAAACGTTGAAAATATTTGGCACATCTTAAACGAGCTGAAAATGATACTTTTATTGTTTCAAAAAATGTCGAGCACTTTATGCCAAATAGTCGCATCACGAGCTTTGAACGGTAGTCGCCAAGCAAATTTGATGTAAAACGGTGTTTACGATGGAATCGTAGTCGATGATCTTTTCGTAGCACTCGAGCGGCAGTCGAAAGCCCGTGAGCTCTATCAAACACTCGATCGCCCAAGCCCGGAAAAATCCTCTCGTCAGTTGCTCGCAGTGACGCATGTAAGGTTGTAAAAACGTCATTATCGTCAGGGCGTCGCTTCGCTTCGGCTCGTATCCTCTGCTCTCGAGTCTCTCGATCGTGCGCAGAGCGCTGGACACTATTTGCAATTCCACGGTACGACCGCGAACGATCGTCGAGCGGAAGCGCGCGGCGAAGCAATCCGCGCTGGGAAAGACGAAGCCGGCCAGATCGGCGCCGCGATCCAGGAGCGCGTCGATGGCGCTCGGCCGCAGGCTGCACACGGCCCATTGAAGCGGCGTCCGCCCCTCGTGGTCCGCGACGTCGAGCCGCAGCGTCAGCCGAAGCTCGTCGCAGATCTCGAAGAATCGCTCCAACGAGCCGTCGTTCGAGCCCGGCCAGCCCGTCTTGCAAATGACCAGCAGAGGCGTCGATCCCTCGGCGTCGGCCGCATCGGGATCCGCTCCGTTTCTCAGCAGCAATTCGGCCAACTCGATGTAGCCGCGGCTCAGAGCGGAGTGAAGCGGTGACCAGCCGGACGTATGGCCCTGCTCTTGACGAAGGGTCGTAGTCGCGTTCGGATCCGCGCCCCTTTCCAGCAGCAGCTCGGCCGACTCGCGGCGTCTGCCTTGCACGGCCAGGTGCAGCGCCGTGCAACCGTCGTTGTCTCGCGCGTCGATATCCAGCCGCAGGCCCATCTCGTCGATCGCGTCGAAGAACCACTTGGTCAAGCTAACGTCCGGCTCTCGGTCGCAAAGGACGTGCAGAGCAGTCCTCCCCTCGGCATTCAGCGCGTTCGGATCCGCTCGGAGTTTCAGCAGCATCCAGGCCGTCCTCGTGTTGGTGCGTCCGCGAGCCAGAGCCATGTGCAGCAGCGGCTCGGCTCGACCGCCTCGAGTATTGTCCCGGGCGTCGATCGTCAGCAGCCGCTGGCCGAACGTCATCGACAACATGGCCAACAGGTGGCCGTCGTCGAAAGTCTCGAACATCAGAGAGAGAGTCGATTGCTTCGTGTGGCGAATGTAACTTTTAGTTGGACGCGAGCTCGGATCGAAAGTGGGGTCGGCGCCGTTACTCAGCAGTAATTTCGTCACGTTCGGCAGGCTCTTGGTCACGGCCCATCGCAGCAATTGGTGCACCTTGTCCGGCTGGAATTCGTCGCGGCCTGCCTCGAGCATCATCCAGACCAATGGGACGTCGTCTCCGTGGCCGGCCATGAGAAAGACGTCCAGAGGAGTCAGTTTGTCCCTGTTCAGCAGAGTCGGCTTGGCGCCGCGACTCACCAGCAGCTCGATCATTTTCTTGTCTCCGTTCCGCGCCGCTACGTGCAGCGGCGTATCGTGCGTCTCCCACCAAGGATAATCGGGATCGTGGCCGTGATCGAGAAACTGCCGGACTTGGTCGACGAGGCCGAACACGCAGGCCGCTTGCAAATGCGTCCAGCCCGTTTTCACGTCTATGCAGTTGACGTCGAAGCGGCGGAACACCGATTGGAAAAGCTGGCGGGCCACGTCGACCAAGTAGCGCTCTGCTCGGGAATGGCCGTGGTAGTATTCGGCCAGGCGATGCAGCGCGCTGACCCGGGGAAACGGCCTCGGCTCGTTGCGGTTTACGCGATTTTCAGGATTGATCAAAATTACGGGCACGTCCTCGTAGCCGCTGGCAACTACGTAATCGATGAATAGTCGATTGACGCTTCGTGAGTTTTTCAAATCCCACGGCTTTTCTACGCAATCGTATAGAAGATAGTCGATTTCGTCGGCTCGGCAAATTTGACGGAGATTCGGACGTCGTTGGACGAGAAAACGAGTTACTCTGCGTCGCTCGTCCCTCGAGTACCAATTGACACTTTTTTCTCCGAAGAACATTCTTCTTTCGAACCCATCCACATATACGGGAGGATTGTCTGGAAGCGCCATTTCGCGCACTCGCTCACACACTAACACAGACACACTGCAGACGCACGCGCGCACGATTAGCAATAATATGAATTATTTTATTTTTTTATTATTTCAGCCACGAGAGACACGCGGTAGTTGCGCTCTATGTAAAGGTGTTCACGTTGCGTTAGACTGGCTTTAAACTGAGTAACATCTGTAGTACGTATACTCCAATTATGGGCATGTGGGCGGCGCCATCCCTACTTGGCTTTACTTTCACTTTCCCATTCTTTATACAGAATTACAGTACATGTGTACACTAAGCTACAATAGATGAGTGTGTAGCAGCTGCTTTTCACTTCTTGGATTGGATGTGTGACTGTGACACGCGACTGTGTTACAACTGGAGCGCAACGATCGTATATACGATATACTTACTGTATACTTGGAGTATACTTATCGTCAATAACGATTTTTCGACTCTTAAATTATTTTTTCGAATTAAAAAACAACTTGTTTTCGAACTGTTATCGTTTTGATTTCGTTGGATCTGTCGAGTGACGAAAAAATGTCAAAATTGAACTATCCTCGTGCATACATTGCAAAGCTATATCTATACCTATCTCTATTCTTCTATTCGACTAAACTTTTTTAAAATGCAATTCAAGCGATAGACTTTTTTTCGATAGACTTTTTTCCAAAGCACTCAATAGAATTTCCAAATTCTTTTATACATCCCCGATCGAATTCAAGCGAGAGCCAGAATACACTTTATCGATCAAAATTGCGTTGTCGTTATCGCGTATAGTTTCTGTCATACTTGCCAGATGGAGCTTAAGCCACGCGCTCGCTCGCTGTATTGCTGATCAAGCAACAAATGTGCGCGACTCTAAAACAGCTGATCGAACGCACACACACACACACACAGAGCAAGAGTTGGCGTTCGAGCCTCGAAAGCATATCTCTCTCGCCTTGTTCGTATGTATACGCAACATTGAATAGTGGTGCGTGTGAATCGAAATCGGAGTAAAAATCTCACTCGTCCGTACTTTAAACCGTCTTGGCTCGTCACTGCTCCGACGAGCGACCGCGAATTATCGCGAATCGCGAGTGTATCGCGCGGTGCACAAAGTGTGTTGAACGAGGAAACAACGCGACGCGATGCACCGCGACACAAGAAGAACGTAGCAACCTTTCGACGATTACGCATGCAGAACAGGCCGGGGCCTGTGTGCGATCGTGTCCGTCCGTCGTCGGTATACATTGTCAATGAGTTGCGCTGATTATCTCTCTCTCTCTCTCTCTCTCCAACGAGTGTAACCTTGTCCTTGCGCGGAAGATAGTGCCTGTGTGTGGCAACGACGACTGCAATAAGTTCATTAGACAGGCACGCGCGTGTGTTCGTTTGCGCTTGTCCAAGGGGTTTCTCGAGTCTTATCACAAAGAGAGACACTGAAACTTTTTCGCGTCTTGCCTCCGCGACTCTCGTCGAGTCGTGCCATCGTCATCCGTGCGTTCGATAGTTGCAGTATATTGCGAGAATTTCGCACGCGCTCGTCGTCGTCGTCGTTGTGTCGTCTAGCCGATATAGATTATAGTCGTATGCAGGCCAAACGAGACGAAACAGCTGTACGAATCAAGAGGAAGGAAGAGACGGACATCTGACAGCTCGACAGACAACGAGGTACGTGTCTTTCATTTACAAGTACGTAATGATCATCGGTAGAAAATTCCATTGCGCGATGATGGTGTTTGTGCGTCGTATGCGATTCGTCGAGAAAAAAACAAATTGACGTCGCTGCGACGTTGCATTATAGGCTGCTGCTACTACTACTGTGTAGCGCGCGCTGTGCATCAACCCGCCCACGTGTTGTTTTGATCCGCGCGACGACGACGACGCGACATGTATAAAGCTGCGCGACTTTGGAAACTTGCCATATCCTTTTTAACATTATGAGCATTGGCATTCGCGAAGAAAACTCGGGAGAGAAATTTCTTATGCACGGACAAAAGTTTTTCCTCGCGATCGATTTTCCGTGGTGCCTCGCGTTGAGCTTTTTTTTTTTTTTTTTAATGTACACGGTTTATACGTAAGTGTATACACACGCTCTAAATATCTCTAGTGGATGAAATTGTGCACGCGTCCTTGATAATCGCCAGTGGCCTTGCTGCTTTTGCGCACTTTTTTCTCCTCCGCCGACGCGACGAGCGTCTCATAGGTTAGAGTTCCTCCGCACTGTTGTCGTCGTTTATATTTTATATGAACCGCGCGCTAGGGAGAGAGAGCTTGCGAAAGCTCGCAACACTGCAGACGCGTTCACACAGTCCGAGAGCTCGTGCATTTTTTTTATTGAAAATCCATTCGCCATTCGTTCTATTGTTACAACTTAATTGTTAATTTGTTCTAATTTCATTTATTCGAAATTCCGCTTGAACATTTTATCGACTGAGCAATTTCTTCTCTATCTCTCTTTATTTATTTAACCAATCGAGATTAGTCATTACTTCGATATTTGTGACATTTGTAAGTACAACGCGAGTTATTTAACGCGAAATCTCCGAGTTTTTCAAGAAACAAATTAATGTTTGATTTGCACTTCTCTGCCATTATCTCTGGCAGTCGGCATTCTACGATAAATGAATGAAATAGTTGCATTATTTATTCGTCACCGGTGGCAGCAGCAGCCTTGAAAATCATTACCAAAGAACGCGTGCGTGTGTATCGACGCAATTTTTTTACCTCCGTATCTTTCGCGCGTGCACGTTTCGGGATACCTATAAACAAAATACGAGCTCTGAGCTTCGTATTTTTTTTTCCTTCGCGTGAATAGGGAATATTGTATACCGGGCGTACGTAAATAGTGCTGTTTGTTTTTTTTTTTACTTTAAACACACCGATGTCGTTGTATGTGACAACTTGTGACAATTTTTTTTTATTAATTTTTGGAAAAAAACCAAAACTTTTGCGCATGATGATCGACAGTGATGCTGATTGTTTGGCAAGGAGCCGCTCGGCGTGGCCTCTGCTGCAATGGCCAGAGTCGAATCGGCTCCACCACGCAGAAATATCAATATCAACAACGCGATCAGCGCGATGAGCAGCAACAGCAGCAGCAGCAGCATCAGAAGCAGCATCCAGGCGGCAACAATAAGACAACGACAATCACCAGGGAGCCCGTTATCGCCAAAAAGCTCGAGCGTCCGAAGCTTTCAGAAGACCGGTAAGTTTTTTTAATGAACGATTTTCCATTGCAATAATATTATGGCTTCTGTCTGTATAGTTCATTCTCGTTTAGACGAGCTAAAAATAGTCTAGGGGGCAATTTCCCAACGAGCTCGATAAATTGTGATTGACTCCTCGAGCCTTCGATCGTAGGAAAAATGTTCACGGTTAAGAGGGAGTCGCTCTTATTATACACTGTACCTACATACGCACTCTTGCGTCGATCAGGATGCCCTACCGCAATTATATTCCACGTTTATATCGAGCGACGAATCCCCCTGAGTGCATAAACGAACTTCGCGCGACAATGTCTGCCCTAGGCTAGATGAGATAGAAAAACAAGTAAATCATTTTGTTGCTTCGATTATAGCTAGGATCACATCTATGTCATTGCGAAATTCCTTTACTGCTCGCGAAAAATATTTTTTCTCCGATTACAGGCATTTTTTCACATCTCTATTTTAAATCGATTTCCGCATTTGTGGGTAAAAAAAAATTGTTTTTCGACTTCTGTTTATAAGTTTTGATTCAAAGTCGAATTACACCTGCTAGCGAAAATTTTCCATTCGACACTCGTGACATGGTTTCTCGAACACGCTCGAAAAGTGTCGACCGAATGAATTCGGCACTTGATTCGTATAATAACATATAATTCGCTATCGCAAAAAAGTTCACGTGACAAAACTTTTTTTCGCATCTGCACAGAATTCGATACGGACGTTTCTGCATTTTGTCACACACTCGCTGCACTCGCCACCGGAGATTAGCTACTTCTCGGAGAAATACTAAACCAACAAAGATTCGTTTCCATGCGAGATGCATTTCTAATATGGGCTGAGTTTCATCAAATTTTTCGGAAAAAAATTGAGACGAAAAAAAGCTGCATCAAGTCAAAATTATGAATACGGCATAAAGCTCTCATATGCTAGTCCATTACATTGTTCGAGCGTAAAAAAGACAAACAATACCTCCGACAATTGGACAACTATATGGACCGACTATTAATCATTTAAAATTTGCCTAATCTTCGTTACCATTTTTTTCTTTCAACGATCCGCACGTACGAGATCGAGCCATATAGACGAGCGCGATGGTATAATGAGCTGCATGAGTCCAGGGTCCGATCATACGCGATACACGTGTATCCGCGTTGGCAATTATGCCTATACGTACGATGATGATACATCCATCGTTAGGGGGAGAGCGATTAATTCATTTGAATGAAATGTTTAACCTGTGTGTGTGTGTAGTAGTGTGCCTCGATCACTGCAATAATATACCTTCATAAAGCTTCTCTCTCTCTCTCTCTTTTTTCTCTCTGTCGTCGGGCATGCCGATGCGTGCAGCGCACACACAGGCCGATACAAACAAGATCTGTATATAACTATATACTTATATTATAGCTGCGCGGACTCGCTCACACACAGTCATATTACAAACGTACCCTCTCTCGAGTTTCTTTCGGGCTCTCGTTGTCGATGTGTGTGTACGTGTCTCTTGCAATAATTAGAGCGGTCCACCCGCGGCAGTCGTGAGTTAACGCATAGCCGGAGCAGCGCGCGGAGCTCGCATCGTCGTATGCTCGAGCAAAGTGTTATAGCTGGCGTGCGCTGTCCGCCGCGTGTTCGCTCTGAAATATAAATCGTATTCTTGTACTTCTACTTCGTCGTCTCGATTCTCGCTGCTGCGGCTGCTGCTCCGAGATATATAACGCAGCCTCTTGTGTCCTTTTACTTTTACTTTTCGTCCGTGTGTCTGGTGTCGGTGTGTGTGTGAGTGAGTGCGGAGCAATTTCGTCGCTCTGCGCCTATATAGTGTATATAATACCCAACAACTAGTTGTCTCTCACTCTGTGGCATTTATAGTGACTCGCTTTTATAAAATCCGTCCCCACTTTGTGTGTGCGTATACCGGCTGCCGGATTTATTATAAATACGGTATACGAATTGCCGATTTATTCTTGGAAAAACTGGCTTTAACTCCTTTTTTTTTCGTGTCCACTTCTGTTATTCATTCTCGCTTATTCGTATTGAAGTGCGCGCGCTTTATACGGGGAAGGAATTACAAATTTGTTTTTCGTTTTATTTTCGTTGCGTTCGGTAAAAAAAATTAATAAATTTTTGTGAACCGTGTGTTTGTGAAGCAAACAAAAAAATTACTCGTAGAAGATAGTTTTCTGTGCACGTTTCAATAACTTTCGAGATTCTTGTGTCTGTGTGTCTGTGCTGTGTACTGTGCCCCGAGTGAGTGTACGACTACTAACTTGTGTCAGCGAGCCGATCAGCTGATTGCGCCGTGGACTCGTGCGGCTCGCGAACGAAGGTGAGTTTTACGTTACATATACGCGAGAATCATCGTCGCTTTTGTTCGACCGATAGAAGCAGGATGAAAAATGCGATCGTGGCGTCTTTGTATAATTTTGCAAAGTGTCCTTATCTCTTTCCTGTGCAGCGATCGGTATACTTCGATATCGATGATGCTCATGTATACCAAGTTTCGCGATATTTATCTAAGAAAAAAAACATTTCAAGTGGTTTTTCCAATTTAAAAACATATTTTCGTTTGTCAAAATAAGACAATATATGCGTAAGAACTGCATTCGTGGTTTGACCTAACCAAATAAACGTACAAATTCGTTGATTTGTTTTTTTTGTAAATGAAAAAAGCTAGCCTTACTAATGAGACATTACATAGATACGAAAAAATAGCGACACGATCATCGACCAGCGATATGTCACGTGCGAATCTACGTCACATACTCGAGTGTCTGCGATGGTATTTCATTTTATTCATTTTTTATTTTAACACAAGACCAATTCTCACCGGATCATGCGGACGAATCGTGAATGTGTATACCTGCGACAATTCTTCGATAGAATCTAAGAAAACCCATTGCAAAAAAATTGAAAAAATATCGTTACATGCGAGCTTATCAAGCTCGGCGTAAACATTTGGAGTACGCGAATGACGTGTGCTCGGGTATTTTTTTAAGCGTTGATTGCAGAGTTCGATTTGTTTATTCGGTCAGATGCTTACAACTTACAGCGATGATTTGTTTGTTGTTGTTTTTTTGGAACGATTGAAAATCAGTTTTTAGCGAATTTTGTGCGACAGAATTTACATACCTTCTAAAAGCGACATGGGATTGGACAAGGGTATGGCTATTTTTCTTGTGGGTAATGTACTAATAAAATGAACTTATCTAAGAAAAGTTGATTCTCTATAGGAGTAGAATCGATTCTAAAAAGGATATGACTTTGTAAATGCAACTATATTATCGTTGCCATAGGTTCTAGACCGGAAATTAATATTCCAGTGAATTATCGAACATTGAGCCGTTGGGGCTCGACCAACTACCCAATTGATCTTTTAATTGCTTAAAGTTTTTAATTTTCTCCTAATCTCCATCACTCCAAGTATGGATTGAATTAATTATATAACGAACAACTATACACACGGTAGTTATGTATATGGGCTAAATCATAATACTTGTGATAATCCAAAAATTTAAATTTCAACCAAGTATGTTCGCTGTTGCAAAAAAAAAACTTAGATTTAATGAAGATTTAATGTAAAAGTGGATCTTACAATTAAAGTAACCGATATTCTATTTTAAATTGTTAGTATTTCTTCATAAAATTTTTGTTAAAAAATAGTGTATAAACAGTGATTTAAACTCCATAAAACATTAAAACCAATCAAAAATATTTAATTCTATAATGTATAAATTATAAGCATTTTGACTGAAAATGACTGCTTTGATGTTGTTTATTTTCGGGTTAATTGCCTTTAATATCCATGAAAATTCAATGACTATTATAGCTATCCCACACCGATAGATGGCGAGTACCTTTATTTGTAAATCTGCAAGTGGCAAAGTGAAAATAATTGCGTAAATCAAAACCCGATTTATTAAGTTATTAAGTACTTGTGAATACATAATATATATGTTCATGAATAACAATAAGCACTGCAATCGTTAATTTAATGTACAATTTTTTTTTTTTTTTTGGTAAAAGATCACCGAATCAGTGCCAAAAAATTCCGATTATAAGTTCAGCCGCTACCGCAAGATGGCGAGTACTTGTACTTGTAAATCTGCAAACTAAAAAGTAAAAATAGTCTTACATAAGCCATGATTTACTTCATATATGTTTAACCATTGATGTCCAGTTTATCGGAAAATAACTTCATTTCCATTTAAATTTTCGGCAATATTAGCTGCTTACCTATGATTTACTCAATATACGCATCCACCATCGAAGGACACGTGCGTAACGCGAGAGAATTCTCGCTCTCTGCGCCACCCGAGAGTGTGCCGTGCCGCGCAGTGCAGATAAATCGGCTCGCAATCAGTAACGATCGACCGCCTCGTAATAAGTCACACACAGTTTGAAAGAGCGTCGATATAGTTTTTTTTTCTTATACATGCTATATAGTGCACACGGCACACGCTCGTGTGTCCCTCCTCCCTACCCTCTTTCTTTCTTCTCTCTCTCTCTCTCTCTCTCACTCGATATGTCTCTTGGTTTTTAACGCACGCGTGCACCACACACACACACACACACCGACTTGTGCGTACTATACAGCACACAGGTGCAACAATCATCGCGAATTTCGTCAGCGTCCAGTCTTTTGCGAATAGCGCCTCGGAAAGAGCTGGCGACGTCGCTTGAGCTCGAGCTCGTTCGAGAAAACAGCCCAGCCATAATATATAGGAACGACCTCTCGAGTGACTTTTGCCGCAGTGTGTGTGATTCCTGTTGTATGCGTGCGTCCGTGTATAATGTGCATCCGCGGTGTATAATGTGCGAGAGTGCCTGACAGCAGCATCGCTTTTATTTTTCTTTCTCGTTCTTTCCTGCAAGCCAGAGAAGTGTTAATTTCTTTTCTTTTTTTTTTAATATTGTGCATCGAGTCGGCCCACACTAGTTAAAGCCGCATGTCAGAACTGGATAGCGACGGAGACTCGTTTCTTTTATCGGAGGGAGAGAAAAT